ACTAGCAGAAGTTTACATAGTTTTGATTTGATTCATATGGATGTACGGGAACCTTATAAAGTTGCTACTAATAATCAAATGAGATACTTCCTTACATTGGTTGATGACTTTACTAGGTGGACTTGGGTGTTTCTCATGAGGCTTAAATCTGATATTATCTGCTTACTCAAGAACTTCATTACTATGATTAAGACACAGTTTGGCAAGTATATCAAGGTATTTAGATCAGATAATGGTAGTGAATTTTTCAATAGTGCTTGTAAAGACTTGTTTCGGTTGCATGGAGTTGTTCATCAAAGCTCCTGTCCTTATACTCCTCAACAGAATGGAGTTGTAGAAAGAAGGCATAGATATATACTTGAAACTGCTCGGACAATTAGATTTCAGAGGCATTTACCTGTCAGATATTGGGGACATTGTTGATATTGCTGTCTATATTATCAACATGATTCATTCCTCTGTTTTAGCATACAAATCACTCTATGAGCTGCTCCTAGGTAAGCCTCCTTCACTGACACACTTGGAAGTCATTGGGTGTATGTCTTTGCTACTAACCTGATAAACCATGACAAATTTGCACCTCGAGCTGTAAGGTCAGTATTATTAGAATATGCTACACATCAAAAAGGTTACAAGTTATTGGATTTGGAGAATAGAGTATTTTTTATCAATCGAGATGTGAAATTCTATGAAGATATGTTTCCCTTTTATACATCTGAAAGCACATCAAAGTCAATTTTCTTGGATATATCCCCAGTGCCAAAGCAGGATTTCACTCTGGAATCGATTCCAGTGGACAGTTCTATTTGCTGTTAATCCTTATGACACACCTAATGTCCCATACTCACCTATTATAGTTCTTGTTCCTATAGTTGAACAGGACACTCTTTCTTCTACTGAACGTAGCAATGTTGAAGTTCCAACTGTTTCTCCTGGTGTTCCTTCTGTTGTGGAAACAAGGAAATCAACTAGAGTATCTAAGCCCTCTATATGGCTTAAGGGCTATGTTAGACCTGACAAGTTGGGTTCTGTGAGCTGCTGCAAATATCCCATTTCAGAAGTTATTAGATATGAAGCAATTTCTCCAAAGTACCAAAGTTATTTAGCCAGCTTTTCTGTTGAAGTGGAACCTACAACATATTCAGAGGCAATCAAGGACAAAAGATGGATAGAAGCAATGCAAGCAGAAATTAAAGCTTTGGAGGACAACAAAACTTGGGAGTTGGTCTCTTTACCACAAGGACAGAAGGCCATATGATGCAAGTGGGTCTATAAAATCAAATATAAGGCATCGTGAGAGGTAGAAGGATTCAAAGCTCGATTAGTAGCAAAAGGGTATAATCAAAGGGAAGGACTAGACTATCAAGAAATATTTTCACCTGTGGTAAAAATGGTTACTGTTAGGAGTGTGTTGGCTCTTACAGCATCAAGGCATTGGTCCATCCATCAAATGGATGTTTATAATGCTTTCTTACAAGGTGATCTCACTGAGGAAGTATATATGACAATTCCTCAAGGTTTCCATGGATCAAATAATAAGTCTACAGTTTGTAAATTGCTCAAGTCTCTCTATGGGCTTAAGTAGGCATCTAGACAATAGAACCCCAAGTTAACTTCAGCCTTGATGGACGCTGGTTTTCAGTAGAGTCATTTGGATTATTCTCTATTCTTCAAAAGGACAACAGATCATATGGTGATAGTCTTGGTCTATATTGATGATCTACTCATCACTGGTGATAGTTTTGTATTGATTCAACAAACTAAAGATGACTTACAATCTTCATTCAAGATCAAGGACCTAGGATAACTTAAATACTTCCTAGGCATAGAATTTTCCAGAAATGATGATGGTATATTGATGCACCAACATAAATATACTCTGGAGCTTATTGCTGAGTTGGGACTCTCATGTTCCAAACCTATGGCCTGCCCTATAGAACTCAATATGAAGCTTACTACCTCTGAATTTGATAATCATATAGGATCATCTGATGATGGGCTACTAACTGATCTTGGGCCCTATCAAAAGTTGTTAGGTAAGCTGCTCTATTTGACCATCACAAGGCCGGACATTTTGTTTACAGTTCAGAGTCTCAGCCAATTCATGCACAGTCCTAAAGCTTCCCATATAGAAGCAGCACTCAAGATGGTGAAGTGTATCAAAAACAGTCCAGGATTGGGGATTTTCCCGACTGCCCATTGTTCTGAATCACTATCACCATTTTGTGATGAAAATTAGGCTACATGTCCTAATACACACAAATTAGTTACATGTTATTTTGTCAATCTTGGTGACTTTCTAATTTCTTGGAAATCTAAGAAGCAAACTACTATTTCTCGAAGTTCAGCTGAAGCTGACTATCGCAGCCTTGCTTCTATTGTTGCTGAAGTTGTGAGGGTTCTTGGTTTACTCAGGGAACTGGGAATTGAGCATCAGTCCCCAGTACCTGTCTATTGTGATAACAAGTCAGCTCTTGCAATTGCTTCCAATCCTGTCTTTCATGAGCGCACGAAGCACATCCATATTGATTGCCATTTCATCCGTGAGAAGATTCGACAGGGCCTCATCTCTACTCACTATTGTGCTACAAAAGAACAAGCAGTCGATCTTCTTACTAAAGGCCTTGGTCGACCACAACATACATATTTGATGTCCAAGCTAGGACTTCTGAATATCTTCCCCAGTCTTAGCTTGAGGAGGGGGTGTAAAGGATGTAGGATGAAGTTAGTAGTAGTTAGTTAACTTAATAACTACAGTTAGTACAACTAGCAGTACATTTGGCACCATTAGTTGGTTAGATTAGTTATATACAGTAGCCTTAGATTTCATTATTCTCTATTCGTTCATTTTGAGCATTATACTGAAGAACAGAGCAAATTTCTTCTCTTTAAATTTCTCTCTTTCGATTCTTCATCTCTGATTTCTCTACTTGCGCTTCATGCCATTGACAAATTCATCATCTTTCAAAAGCTAGGCCAAAACTCATCAACTATTTGAACTCTTTTGCTAATGGCAGGACCTCATTTGTCTCCAACTATTAACAGAGAGCATAATTAGACCACTTCGTTAAGTCTAGAGGTAAATTTGATCCTTTTTCCTTTGATTAAAACCCTCCTCTAGCCACTATGGTAGACCGTTAGGGGCTGGGGCAAATTTGGGATGAAAAATAACAATGTGACCTTTTATGAGCCAATAGCGTTAACGGAGAGTATTCATAAAATAAAAATTTTTTTACCTCCTATAGCAAAGGTTGATACCTTATTTATATTAAATAAATACCCTTTTAAAAAATTATATTTCATAACTACCTTTTGATTTTTATAGCCAAATATCTATTTATGGTCACATCTTACTCTTAAGCCATAAAATACGCCTTGCATTATTTTTCTCTCTCATTCTTTCAGATTTTTCTCCACCCCCTCTCTTTCAACTCCATTCTTTCTCCATGAATACAACCACAATTCTCCCAAATACAAATCGAAATGGGCAGCTTTGACTCTCAATCTGGAATACATTCAGGGTGGAAAACGTGGTCAGACTTTGGGATCAAACACAGTGTTTCGTCATCTTCAAACTCGTTCAAACATACAACACATTTCAAAGCTCCTTTACCGATATGATGATCCTTTACTTCAGCGTAGGTAAAAGTGGGGAAAGTTTCTATCACCAAATTATCGAGTCCAGGTGTAGCAGCAACAACACTATGGTGGTTCATGGAAAGTGTTTGACGGATGTTGTTACCATTGGCGGCACTGCGATTGCGGTTGTAAACTGAGAAACAAAAGTCTATATAAATCTCTATCTTCCTCTTCTCTTCATCGTTCTAGGGTTCTGCCCAATCTGGGGGTTTTCCGTCCCAATCCACAAACGCCATTCAAATTCAATTATAAAGAATAGGTTTTTTGAAGCGCACATGAGGGTATTATGGTAACAGGAACATTGGCGTTTCGAGTCAGAATCGCGGCCCTCTCGACGAGACGACATTAGGGTTGTTCTTGAACAAAGACGACGGAGTTTAAGGCTGAGCAACTTGAATTTTCTGTTAATATATTTTAATGTATCTCGCTGTATTTCCATGTATTTCATTGTATTCATTGTCTTTTTTTTTATTGTATTCTCGCTGTATTCCATGTATTTTATTGTATTCACTGTCTCGTTGTATTCCGTCAATGTATTCATATATTTTTTTAATTAATATAATTTATGTATTCAGATGTATATATGTATTCAAATTGCTCTGTTTTTGTTGTATTTATCGGTTGGGAAAAATATTCAGCATATTTTCTCTGAAGATTGTTATGTTTTTGGGGTGTTTTTCGGTTAAGAATCTATTTTATAACTGGAAATATAAATTTTGTGTGTTATAATTGAGTTTGTTGAGTTATATTAGGAGTTTATTATGTTAACTGATTCACTTTCCGTTTAAAAATAACTGAATAGACCATGAATTGCGCTATTTACGTTACTATATTCACAAATACATATCGTGAATACAGTCGAATATAATAATCTGTCTAGCTGTAATCCCCTGTTTCACGTCGTGAATACAGTCCAGTACAAAGATCTGTTTAGCTGTAATCCCTTGTTTCACGCCTAGAAATGCTACTGTATTCATGAATACAGTAACTTAAATACATCGAATACACTCTAAAAAACTTGAAAACATAGCTATAAGAAGTAATATAGTAAATGATAGTTACAACTAGTTAATAACCACTAAAATATAGTGGTTCGTGAAAGTCTCTCAATTGGATACGATATGAGCACTTTTTGGACCTTTTCCGTTTTATATTTGTTTTGGTGGAATATTTATATCATAAATCCTTTCACTTGACTCTAAGGCTTTTACACAGATTAATCTACCAGTTGAAAATGAAAACTGAATGAGGCCGAAGTGTCACGGAATAGGAAGAGAGCGGAGCAAAGTGTATAAATTAAAACTTAGGTGGGTAAACTTTCCAAATTCAAAGTACAGGTCTTTCCACAAAATGGAATTGGAATTACAAAAAATCGGATTTTGACAAATGGGAACTTCTTGCTTGTGTTCGTCCCTCTATAGATTCCCAGTAGATTATCCAGACTGTACGGTCAGACTCAGCTATGGCTGCTTACAGAATGGTCGCAAACGACTTCAACCTGCAACTGCCACAAATACTCATGTCAGTGGCAATGTTTGTCCGAAAAGAGGGACATGCCTTTTTTCTGCGATACAGGCGCAGAAGCCTATAATAACTGCGGCGATACTGGCGGCAGCTGCAGCATGTGTTGTGATAGTAGCGGTGAATGGGGCGGAGGCGGCGGAGCAGCTAACACAACAGGAAATAAATGGAGAGACTTTTTCGAATGTACCGCAAACGCTATCTGGAGAATGCGTTGAGGGTCAGAAAGATTGTAAAAAGGCGAGGATTCAACGACCTAAGTCAAGGCAAGCTGAGACTTGTACTGTTAAATGTGTCAATACTTGTATTCGTGGTGGCCTTGGATCTCCTGGTGAAGGTCCTCTTAACGTTAGAAGGTATCATATTTTACTTGTAATTAATATTTACATTGCTAATATGTATACTTGAGCTGTTCTCCTTATATACAAAAACCTAACCACGGATTTAATTAGTTCGAATAATTAATCTATTAGCTTACCTGATCTAACTTTGTACAATTTGAATCAGCATAAGTACAACTCAATTAACACACTCAACCTGATTTTTTGATAATCTCCATCATGTTGTGTGATGAAAAATATTAATCATACCAAACTTGGAAGATATGTGATCTTGCAACCCGATTAGCAAGGGTTTTAGTCAAATAATCTGCCATTTGTTCCTTGTTAACAAGTAGCAGTGTAATTTGCTTTGATTAAACCTTGTTGAATCTTTTTCCATATAAAATATATGGCATTTGCTCCTTGTACTGCAGCCTTGGTATCGGAATTAAGATCAATTGGTAATTCTACCTTCATTTCTAACTCACTTAACAATGTAATAGTCCCAACCAGTTCTGCAATTGCTATTGCCCTACCTCTATATACAGTTTCAGATGCTGTTTCTTGCTTCTTCAACTTTTAAGATATTATTGGATCTTTTAGTTTTATAATTATATCCCGTCATTGGCCTTCTTGTAACTGCACATGAAGCCGAATTTGCATCACAATATATTGTAAGCTCTCTGACACCTGGAAGCTCATTAATAAGCACAAACCTAATGGCAGCCAAAGCCCAGACCTAGTACCCATGGGTGTGGCCTAGTGTCAATGAAATAGTTTGAGAACCATGAGGTCTCAGGTTTAAATCCCATTGGAGGCAAAAATATTAGGTGATTTCTTCCCATCTATCCAAGCCTTAGTGGATATAATTACTCGGTTGCGTGTGTTGGTGGGAGATAGCAAGTAACCCGTATAATTAGTCACGGTGTCACTAAGTTGACCCGGGCACCACGTTGATCAAAAAAGAAAAGAAAGAGAAAGAAAAAGCCCAAAAAATAGTTGGCTCTTTATGAATCTCACTACTCGAATTGTTACTTCAATAATCAAATATGAGACTTCTTTGGTGCATACATAAATTGATTTAATGTCTGTAGGAAAAATGATATATCTAGCCTTGTCACTGCCAAGTACAACCATTTCCCAATGAGTTTTTGATATCCCTTTTTGTTCTCCAGTTCAGTATCTCCATCAATTTCGAAGTGTTTGTTAAATTCAGTGCCTGCTACAACGACTAAAAATTAGATATGCAGTCTGGTTACAGAAAATTGAGACATAACAAGGTTAACAAAGGTAAGAGAAGGAGAGAGGGGGGGGGGGGGGGTGTAAGAGAATTGAGTTGTACCTTCAATCCTAGTATATGTGGTCTTTAGAATTCATTAATTTACTGCTAGATTTGAATTTAGAAATGTGTCAAGTTTAAAGCTTCAAAAAGCAAGAACTCAGCTTGATATGTAGGTGAATGTTCACAGCCATTTCATTACACAAACTTAGGGAGGTTCCTTTAATATATTTCAAAACTTAGCTGCAGGAAATCGTGAGACTGATACTCTGAGAAAACTAGATAGTAAGCATGAGCTAGATCTAGCATTTCTCTCATGTTTGACATTACTTCTTTTAAATACGATACAGCTCTCTTAGTTGTACTTATGTCATTGTTGACTATTGGTGAAGCATGTCCGATAAAATGATATCAAGTACTCATATCTGAAGAGATTTTCAACTCTAAAAATTGGAAGTGATTTTTACATGGAAGGTGCATTCTGGTTAATACTATGTAATTGAACTTCTTCTAGTCGATAATTTTAATCTTCTGAAGTTCGATTTTCTTTCCTGCATCCTTTATAATAATTGAAATGCTTGCAGGACAACATAAGCATGTAACTGAAAGGCTAATTAAATGCCTATTGATAGATGATAACCTAGTTAAAAAAAATACCATATTCCTTCCCACCCCCCCAACAAACAATTCCATCAAAAAAAAAAGGGAAAGGAAAAAGTGCACGTGACATAAGAGATTTTTTTCCTGTAGAATTAATTGAATGTGGTCAGGATATAATCATATGAAGACAAAGAGACACTGTTTGATAGAGTCATTTTGAGAGGTTCACTTTTCCCTTGTTTGTCTACAGGCCTCTGGTGGTGTTTAAGCAAGGGTTTCGCAGTCGCCAATACTGGTAATTGTTTTTCCTTCAAATTTATTTGTGTGTATATGTCATTTTCCTTTGCTTATATTTGTTCTCCTAAGCTCTACTCAGTGATGCAACTCATCACTTGCCAAAATCTTGTTAAAATATGCAATGCTGAACAAGTTACTGTATGTCGTAAGTTTGTATGTGCACCAATTACAACTTTTACTATTCTTAGCTTGGTCTGTAGAATAAGAAATATAAGATAATGTCTTGTCTAGTTAAAGAAGAAAATCTGCTCAAGCTAGGGGTGTGCATTCGAATCGGTTTATCGATAAATCGAATCAATTATTTGTTATCGGTTTATCGATTTCGATTTCGAAATTTTCCTTATCGAGTTATCGATTTCGATTTTGTCCTCTTCGGTTATCGGTTTATCGATAAACCGATAAGATATACTAATTTTTTTT